ACATGAAAAATATGAATTTTTTTCATGTTTTCTAAGATTTTCCAAATAGTTTTTTGAATTTTTTATCGCAAAAAAAGTGTCTTAAAGTTTTTGTTAATGTATACAGTTTTATAGAGCTCGACGAGCTCTATCGAACCGTGTAGAAATATTCAAGAAAAACATTTTACTCCATTCTTGAATCACTAGTACTTTTATTTTCCATCCCAACAAAAAGTATAAAATTTCTGAAAATTTATTAAGCTCGACATTAAAAGGTTTTCATAAGCCTCACTATTTAATACCAATAAACCCCATTTTTAACGAGCTTTCATTTAATATAAAATTTATTATGTCTTCTATTTGAAATTATAGCGTTACCCCCCTGGAATAATATTTTTTCCAACCGTGTATAAATGCCACAAAAAACACAACAAGCTGAAGCATTAAAAGAAAAATATTGAGAAGTTTTTTTTTCTTCAAGTCAAAAACAAACTTATTTTTGTATTTTAGTTGAAATTAATAATTTTGAAGAGTATTTGTAAATTTTATTTCTACAAAATAAAAAGTTGAAATTGATACCTATTATTCTAATAAAAAAACTAATTGATTAAGTTTGATAAATAGTAAAGTTATAATAAATTACTTTTTCATCGAAATTTGTGAAAATGGTGTAATAGTGAAAAGCACAACCTTGTGATAGAAGAATATTTATTATTTATATTTTTTAATTTGTCAATATATTTGACGAATTGTGGAAAGTTAAACAAGGTAGTGAGACTAGAGTGATAATAAGGATAAGTATTTTGTGGATGGCTAACTAATAAATTCATCTAAGTTTTAATAATTTACATGAGTAAAAAATATGAGAGAAGATTTTTTGATAATCTAAATTTGTTGATTAAAAATCTAATAAATTCTTCTTTTAGGAAGATATGATATGAATAGTTATAAAAAATTGATATAAAATTAAAATAATTGAAAGATAACAAATTGAAAATCATAAAAAGAAAATAAGTAATAGAATAGGATTTGATAATAAATAAAAATAAATTTGTAATTCTATTGAGAAAAATTTGTTTTGATCAGGAAGTTTTTTTTCTTTTAGTGATTTTTCATTATATTTTCTAGGCAATTCATACAATTCTTCATTGACATTGATCAGATTGTTTTTACGATTAAATATATAACTCTGCTTTTTATTAAGGATAACGATATCTTTAACTAATTAGTGTGATCAAAAGTGGATTACATCTCAGAATGAGGATAATCTTTTCTCAGGGTAAAACAACATATAGACTTTATTGAGAAATAATTATTTGAAATAAATGGTGAAAAAATTT